AACATGACACCTACAGTTTGCATCTAGATTAAGCAAAACTGGGGAGGAAGATATGGAGTGGCCAAGAGACAGCGACTGGAGATGCTGGGTGCTGGGCACATGGAAGCTCAGCACTCATGTTTTAATTTTTATTTTGTTTCTTCAGTACTAGGATCAAACCTGACCCCTTACTGAGCCTAACCTGGGGAACTCTAAGCAAGTGCTCTGCTGTGGCAGCGGAGCAGGAAGAGCTGAGAAGGGGTACATGCAGCTTTCAAGTCCAATCAATTCCAAAGTAAACGGTAAAAAGAAACATACAGAGATGATCACCAACACTGACACACAGACACTCACGTGCACAGGCACTGATGCCCAACCAAGGAAAAGGCTGAATCAAACCTCAGACACAAATATGACCTGGTGATGTACGACTGTCATCACAGCTACTCAGCAGGTAGAGGCAGAAAACTGAAAGTTCAAGGCAACTGTGGACAAGTTAGTAAGAACTTGTCTCAAAATAAAAAATGAAAAGAGGGCTAGAGGGTGTGGCTCAATGATAGAGCCCCTGCTTAGAATCCCTCAGTGAGGGGCTGGGGTGTGGCTCAGTGATAGAGTCCCTGCCTAGAATCCCCCAGTGAGGGGCTGGGGTGTGGCTCAGTGATAGAGCCCCTGCCTAGAATCCCCCAGTGAGAGGCTGGGGTGTGGCTCAGTGGTAGAGTACCTGTCTAGAATCCCCTAGTGAGGGGCTGGGGTTTGGCTCAGTGGTAGAGTGCTTACTTAACAAGTACAAAGCCCTAGGTTTGATCCCCAGTACCACAAAGGTACACTCCCTCCACCTGCATGCCTGGCAGTTCTGGGTGGTTCTCCACCCAAGGATGAAACACAACATACCAAAACCAGCTATGAGGAGATACTTTTCTGACAACAATAACAAAAAGTACTGAAGGTTTGAAGACATACCTCTAGCAACCATCAGGGCTGGATTCTGGTTCCCCTCCTGTGTGGGAGATGCCTGGGAGAGTGTGTGCTGTGTGCAAATGTCACCCATATGGCTGTCACTGTCATCTATCCTGAGGGTGGAGTAGAAGGCTGCTGAGGATGGGGCTGCTTTGGGAATCAGCGTGGGTGTCCACAAGGGACAAAACCACCAAGCCTGGAGCTACTGCAGCTTGCTGAAGGCGGGCAACGGTTAAGTCAACGAAATTCTAATGCAGAACGGGCTAACAAAACAAGAGATAGGCACAGAAAAAAAACTGCCATTATTTCCAAATCACTAATGAATTTTTCATTTCAAGATAAAAATTGAGGGGTGTTTAAAAAAGAAAGCGAGCCTTGGGGCTGGAGAGAGGGCTCTGGGGGTGAATGCCAGCAAGCATGAGGACCTGACTTCAGATCCCCAGCACCAAGCAAAAGGCGAATGCAGTGTCACACTCCAGCAACCTCAGTGCTGCAGAGCTGAGAGGGAGCTTTCCAGGACTTGCTGGCTGTCAGTGTAGCCAAGCCGGCAGGTTCCAGGTTCAGAAAGAGACCCTATCTCAAAATATAGAGTGGAGAGTGATAAAGGATGATACCATGATACCAGAAGCCACCCTCTGACCCCAACACACACACACACACACACACACACACACACACACACACACACACACACACACACACACACGAGTATACCTGCAATTGCCTTGATCTGAACTCGCTGGAGTATCTGGATTACTTTCAATGTGGAAGTTCTTAATCAGCACTCTAACCCAGAACTTGACAACATCCTGTCCTATCCATGAGACTGTTTCTTTTGGAGCTCCCTACAGTCAAAAACAACAGGAGACCCCCACCCCCACCCCAGAACTGCTTAGCTGGCCTGCTGACAGGTTTTTCTGAAGCAGGACACATATGACACTCATTTGCTGGTTTTCCTTACACACACTGGTTATGACTCTGCTGACATGGACTGTGCTCAGAAACACCCCTAAAGTCAAATACACACAGCTGGCCTGGGGAGACGGCTCAGTTGGTGTTTGCCACACAAGCATAAGTTCAATTCTTAAAAGTAACAGCTAGACGTGACTGCTGTGGGATCATAAGCCCAGAGTTGAAGAGGCAGGGAAAAGGATAATCCTGGGACTTACTAGTCAGACAACCTAGACATCTAGAGTAGGTGAAATGCCCTGTTCCCCAAAATAAGGTGAAGAGTCAATGAAAAGGACATCCAAAGTTGACCTCTGGCCGCCATACACGAACATAGAGTCGGAGAGTGGGTGTGCATGCACACACACACACACACACACACACACACACACACACACACGGCACAGGCACTCTGCACTTCATCTATAGGGCTGCAGGGCTCAGTCGTAAATCACTTCCCTGACAGCTAAGCCACCATGCTCAGACACGTACCCACTACACATGCCAGCTCCCAAGAGACAGACTTCCAGGCACTGCACACACCAACATCGTTTCAAAAATACCAGCCTTGGCCTATTCAGTAGATGAGCAGGACCCTGTGGTTTGAAACTTTGCCTACAGTGGGGAGGAGACAATCCTGTGAAAGAAAAGTCTTTTATTCAAAAGGCAGCGAGTGGGACTGGGGAGAAATCAGTGAGTAAGCACTCGCTGCACAAGCATGGGGACATGCGTTTGAGTCCCCAACACCCATATAAAAAGCCAGGTGTGGTTTCCTGCAATGCTGCAACCCTAGTGCTGTGGGTGTGGAGACAGGAGGACCGCTGGGGCTTGCTGGCTGCCAACCTAGCTCCAGGTTCAGTTTGAGACTCTTCCTCAGGGAATAAGGTGGAGTGACAGAGCAGGACACCCAGTGGCCTCTTCCTCTGGCTTCTGCATGTGTACCCCCACCCCTAACAATACAGTCAGCTAGATTCTGGCAGGGGTATTTGGGACAAGAACCCTAAAAAGATTGTGGACTGATGTGTTTCCAGAACCTGAGTTACAGAAAGGAACCCTAGGAAGGTGGAGAGAATGGTCATCTGTCAATTTCTCAGGCCCAGGAATGCATTTAATGGCCCACTGACTGAACAACTCTCCCTCCAGGTAATCTGGCTTTATCTTCTTTCAGTGATGGAGACGGAACACAGAGCCTGGCACAGCTGGGGAAGCATTCTACCACCCAGCTACAGTCCAGCCCTTGGACACTCTACAGGGACACAGCTTTCAGGTTTGGGAAAAGAAGGTGACATTCCCTCTCACACCCTAATAAGATGAGTCACTGTTGGCGTTCTAAGTGATTCAATACAGAATCTGTAACATATTTGGACCCTGGGAAGGCAGACACACACAGCAAGTACTCCAGACCTGGAAATGACTCCAGCAAAAACTCCACACTCAGGGTGCTTGTAAACGTGAGTAAGGAGACAGACACTCACACCTGGCCATGAACCTTGTCAAGCCAACACTAGTGAGAGTTAGAAGCAATTACTGAATAGAAAAACAAAGTGCTGGGAAGGAAGTAATTAACATAGCTTTCTCCTGGTAATTTCTGAAGGTCCTGGACCTCTAGGGTGACAGAGGACTGGGCATAATGGGAGCTTGGAAGAGGGTAAGGTAGTCATGCTGTTGACTATCACAGGAGCAGTATCCTGGGACCTGTATTTCCCACCATGTTCTGGGGGTAAACTAGGGCACAGCACTTCCTGCCCAGCTACTAGATTGAAAGCATCTGCCTCCAGACATGCTCTTAAAGCATGGACATCTCCACCCCCAAGGCAGCTCCCTAGACCATAATACCTCCCAGGCAACACTCTCCCAGGCAGGGGTAGGGCAGCTCATCAGTCCTTCCAGGTCCAGGCCAAAGGAGTGAACACTGGGGTCCTGACCTTTGGGAGTCAGGAACAGGAGTGTACCTGGATTATTCAGACCACAAGGGTCAGAAGTGGCCCTGGTGGTTCTGGCTAAACGGAATCAGGGTTGAGGGCCATGGGTGAGGGGAAGAGTTATGGTAGTTCAAGCTGAGTGGGGTCTTATGCTACCAGGGGTTTAGGCAGAGAAAGCTAAGGGTCAGGTAGTGACGCTGGAGGAGCGGAGTGTTTCAGGGCTGGAAGAGTTCTGGTGAAGATGGAGATGGGGGAGCTGATGGTCTCAAGTCATCAGGGGTCAGAAATGACTTCTAGAGGTGTAGCCAGGGTGAGATAAAGGTTAGGGGGTGGGCCCTAGGGCTTTCAGGTTAAGTAAAGTCAGGGGTAACTGCTCCTGGCTGGTAAAATAAAGTTCAAGAGTGACCCCAGGTATTGAGGACAGGTGGGATTAGGGGTAACTTGGGTTCAGAAAGTAAGGGATGGAATCATGAGCAACCAGCTCCAGCATAGGAGTGGTGGAGGCCAGATGGAATAGAGGAGTGTGCGTATGTGTCTGTCTGTGTCTGTGTGTGCTGGAGAGAGACAGAGAGAGAGGGGAAGGGGGTTTAAAGTGGACCCCAGTGTTTAGGCCTGTCCAGGGTCGGTGTGGCAGAGGAATTCAGGCTGAGCTGGGTCTGGGTTTGGCCCTACCAGTCAATCAGGGCCCGCCCAGGAATCAGGACCCAGTGAGTTTACAGGCGGGGGTCAGGCTTAGTTGGGTCGTGATTAAGGTCAAGGTAACCACGGGGTCAGAGCCAGGTGAAGGTCGAGATCACCGGTAACTTAAGGATCAGGCTTAGCTGGGTGGAGAAACCGGGTAGGCAGGGGGTCGGAGTCGGGTGGGATCAAGATCATTGTAACCAAGACTGGAGATGACTTAGGTAATCAAAGCCGGGTGGAGTCGAGATTGGAGGGACTAGTTCTTGGCAGGTCGAGATGGGGTAGGGAGTAACCAGGGGCTAGAACCTAGCAAAAACGAGATGGGATGGGGAAACGACCCAGAGGCCAGGCTAGGAGGAGTCAAGCTCAGGGGGACACCAGGGGTTCAGACCGGGCAAGGTCGAGATCAGGGGGTGACAAGGGACCAGGCCGGGCGGGGTTGAGATCAGCGGGTAGCCAGGAGGTTGAGACCAGATCCGGAGAGGGTTGACCCGGGGGTGGCGCCGCACTCACTGTTGGGGCAACTGAAGGGCTGGCGCTCCCCGCCTCTGGAAGGCCCCGTCCACGAAGACACCGTTCTTGCCGAGGCAGCGCAGATAGAAGTGAGGCTCCTGGAAGCTGAGCTGCAGGTGGCGCCGGGAGATGAAGCTCGACAGGCCCATGCTCAGGTCCACCGAGCCCTGCGACGAGTTGCGGCCGATGGTGACGCTGGGCTGTCGCATTAGGAACTCGAACTCCCGGCCCTCCAGGCGCGCCAGGACCGGCCCGGGGCTCTGGCGCACGGAGGCGGCGGCCGCGGCCACCAGAGCGGGCGCGGCGGTGGTGGCAGTGGCGGTGGTGGAGGGCACCGGGCCGGAGCCGGGCACAGCGGGCAGCGCGGGCGGCCCGGGCGGAGGCTGCGCCGGCGGCGGCGGGGACGCGGTGGCCGGGAAGGCGGCGGCCGCGGCCGCGGCGCACAGCACGGGGCTGCAGGGAGCCGAGCGCAGCGCCAGCAGGGCGCGGGCGCCGCTGTCCTCGCCGACTTCGGCCATGTTCGCGCAGCACCGAGCGGCTCCGGCGGCGGCCGAGGCGGCGCGGGGCGGGGCGGGGCGGGGCGGCGCGCGCGGAAACCCGGGCTGGATTACGGCACGGAGCGGAGCCCGGGCACTGCAGGGACCCCTGACGCTGCGCGCGCAGCTTCCACCTCGGGGTGGGCGGGTGCAGAGAGGCAGAGAGTCAAAGAGCCCCCTTCCCTCCCACCCTGAAGTGCGTGTGATGGTGTTTGACTCACCACGTTTTCAGGGGTATCTTACTGGGGCTGCAGATCAGAGTTGCCCAAGGATGCTTGTGATGGTCTCAGCTCATCGCCGATCGCTTCTGCATGGCTGTTCTTTTTGTGTTTTGCTTTGTTTTTGTTTATAATGTTGCAAATTACATTTTATTCACTCATGTATTTACTTGTGGTTCTCCACCATACCTGGTGTGTGTGTGTGTGTGTGTGTGTGTGTGTGTGTGTGTGTGTGTGTGTGTGTGTGTGTGTAGATTAGAAGGGACAGCTTTCAGGTCTATTCTCTCCTACCCTGTGGGTTCTGAGAATGGAATTCAGGTCGAGCTTGGTGACAAGCATCTTTACCAACTTACTAAGCCATCCTTGTTTTGTTGTTGTTTGAGACTCTATCTCATACCCAAGCTACCTGGTTTGGCTACCTAGACCAGGCTGGCTGCAAATTCATGATTTTCCTGCTCCAGCCTCCTAAGTGTGGCTATTACAGGTGTATGCCACCAAGCCTAGCCTTTTTAATTAATTAATTAATCTTTCATACAGAATCTCTTGCTATGGTAGCTCAGACTGGCTTCCAACTGGCGACCCTCCTGGCTTAGGCTCCTAGATGCTCGCTGGAGTCACAGGTGTACACTACCACACCTGATTTCCCTTGTTCCTTTTAGGGTGAACAGCTCTGCAGGTTCCTAGAGACGATCAACACCCTGGAGATGGACGGTAGTTGAAAACATTTAAATGGTGAATTTGGCAGCATGTGCATCCCTTGAGAACTTCAAGGTTCTGCATTGGGATGCTAATTAGCCAAGTCTTCCTCCAGGAACACACACATACTACATATGCGCACCCATGTGTGATTTCTCACACTTAATAATAACTGTGAAGGAGCTGGCTCAGTTGGTAAAGTGCCTGATTCATTCATCTCCAGGACTGGAGTTCATTCCCCAGCACGGACTTCAAAACCCATTGAGAGCTTCTATAATCCCAGTGCTTTAGGGTGGAGGCAGACAGATCGCTGAAGTTCATTGGCCAGCCTGCCTAGCCAATCAGTGAGCTCCACATTCATAGTGAATCGCTGTCTCAAAACAAAAACAAAAACAAAACCTCGAAAACAACAACAATAACAAAAAGATAGAGCTGAGCCTTGGTGGTGCGCACCTTTAATCCCAGCACTTGGGAAGCAGAGGCAGGTGGATCTCAGTGAGTTCAAGGCCAGCTTGGTATACAGAGTGAGTTCCAGGACAGCCAGAACTGTTACACAGAGAAACGCTATAAAAAGAATTTTTAAAAATAATTATTATGAGAATAGAGAAGTAGGTCCTGCCCTCAGTGAACTTCAGGACTAGTGAAGATACAGATATGAATTAAAGACCCATACTAATCAATGTAATGCTCACAACCATGCAGGGTATGTGTTGACAGGGTGCATGTGTGGGGTGCATGGCAGAGTGTCTGGGGGGACAGGTAGGAGGGAGATTTATTTGGCTTGCTTATGATGGGAAGCTCCCCTGCCTATCTAGCTCCCATTCTGGACCCAAACAGGAGAGTCAATCACCCTGTTATAAACCAGTGGTTCTCAACCTTCCTAAAGCTGCGGACCCTTTAACATAGTTCCTCATGCTGTGGTGACCCCCAACTAAAAACACTATTGTTGTTGCTACTTCACAGCTGTAATCTTGCTGCTGTTATGAACTGTGATGTAGAGATCCGATATGCAGGGTCCAGAGGGTTGTAACCCACAGGTTGAGAACTGCTCTTAGAAAGGTTACAACTAGGGATCAGCATATTTGAGAGGCCAGGGACAGAAGTTTTTGGTTTTGATTTTGTTTTTTCTTTGTTTTATCTCGGTCTGTTGGGTTTGTTTGTTTGACACCTGGTCTCTTGTAGCCCAGGCTGGCCTCAAACTTGCTCTGTAGCTTAAGTTGAACTCCTGGTCCTCCTGCCTCTGCCTTCAAAAGCTAGAATTACAAGTGTACACTATCAAGCTCTGCTCAGGTTTTCATTTTCTTTTTCTTTTTCCTTTTTTTAGTACTAGAGTTGAGTCCAGGGCCTCGTGCATGCAAGTGCTTTGCCTCTGAGCTATGTCCCATCCCTTTAACATTATATTATATTATTATATTATATTATATTATATTATATTATATTATACTATACTATACTATACTATACTATACTATACTATACTATATTTATTATGTGTGTGCAGGTCAGAGGGCAACTCTCCTTCCACCATGTGGGGCCTGGGGAATAAGACTTGGATCCTTAGCCTTGGTGGCAAGCCCCCTTACCCACCAAGCCATCTTGCCAGCCTGCCACCACATCTTGTATTTTCCATTTTCAGTCAGGTTTCACCTCGTTCTCCAGACTGGCTTTATTCTCATGCTGCAACCTAGACAGACCTTGATCCTGAGCTCCTCCTGCCTCAGCCTTCAGCCAAGAGCCGTGAGATGCACACCATATGCTTGTAGTGGAGTCACCCTGGATTGTAGGGGTGGTTGTCTGTGCCTTACCCTGAAGCACTGCCCCTAGTGAGGCAGCAGGTAACTGCTAGGTACCTGCCCCGCCCCCTGCGCCAGGCGTGGCCCAGATGGGAACCCCTTAAGACTTGGGATGACATATGTGCTCGTGTGCTCTCTGTCTCAGCTACCTCGTGGGCTTGAATGCTGGTGCTGTGGATCAAGGCAGAGCTCTCCTGAGAACCGAGGTGGACCGTGCCCTACCCCTCCAGGATTCCTTGACCAACTCCTTTATTCTTGTTGTGAGTTAAACTCTGAATAAATTCCTTTGACCATCAAATAGATTCCGTGGAATTATCTCATTACTGTGGAACTTGACTAAAATAGCAGTCAAAGTGGCTGTGGGATGCTGATTTGGAAACTGCTCTACTAGGTAAAGCAGGTGTAAGAAAAACGATGGGGAAAAACCAAGGGTCCCAGAAATATTGAACACACACACACACACACACACACACACACACACACACACACACACTTTTTCTTTTAAGTTCAGCACACACCTGTAATCCCATTGCTCAGGAACCAGAGGCAGGGGAATCTCTCAAGAATACTAGGTCAGCCCAAGTGACATAGTGAGAGCCTGCCACAGCCAACCACCTGTTATGGCGGGTGATGGCTCACTCAGTAGACGGCTTTGCTGTGAAAGCGCGAAGACCAGAGTTTGTTTCCTAGAACCCAGGAGACAGAAAAAAGCCTGCACGGTGGCATGCGCTTGTAATCCCACCACTGGGTTGGTGGAGGCAGGAGGATTCCTGGGGCTCGTTGGCCAGTCTAGCCTTAGGGGGGACCCTGTCTCATAGGAGGTGAATGTCATTTCTGAGGGCAACACCTGAGATCTTCCTGTCTCCACAGGCATGTGCACACATATACACCTGTACATACATAATGTCTCTGCACTTACATGTGTGAAACTTCAGTGTGGTATAACCATAGGACGCTGAATCTCATTTCTGGCCATATCCAGAAGAACTGAAAGCAAGGTGTGTGTGTGTGTATGGGGGGGTGGTTAATTACATACAGTAAAGCTGAGACAGAGAGCACATGAGCACGTATGTCATCCCAGGTCTTAAGGGGTTCCCATCTGGGCCACGCCCGGTGCAGGGGGCGGGGCAGGTACCTAGCAGTTACCTGCTACCTCACTAGGGGCAGTGCTTCAGGGTAAGGCACAGACAACCACCCCTACAATCCAGGGTGACTCCACTACAAGCATATGGTGCATATGTGTTCATGACAGCTTTACTCACAATAGCTAGAATGTAGAATGAAGTCAAGAATTCAAGCCAGCCTGGTCTACAGAGCCAGAACAACCAGGACTGTTATACAGAGAAACCCTGTCTTGAAAAACCAAAGAAAGAAAAGAAAGAAAGAAAAAAAGAAAGAATTCATACACACACACACACACACACACACACTGCACATACATCTAAGGGAATATTAGTTAGCCTGAAAAAGGAAGGAAAAGTGTGATGCCTGCTGCAGTGTGGATGAATCTTGATGACACAATGTTGAGTGAAAGAAGCCAGACCTGAACAAACAGGGTCTTATGTAGCCCTGGAACTCACCATGTAACTGAGGATGAGCTTAAACTTCTGGTCCTCCTGCCTCTACCTCTGAGTGCTAAGACGGCAGGTATGTGTCACCACACCCAGTTTGTGCAGTGCTGGGGCTCGAACTCAGGGCTTCATGCATGCTAGGCAAACACTCTACCAACTGAACTACAGCCCCAGCTCCTACAGTTAAACGTTAATGGGGCCCAAAGACTGGTCATGTTCACAGAGGCTAAGAACAGAATGGTGGGAGGCAAGGGCTCTGAACAGGAATAGTGTTTCAATGGAGACAGAACTCAGTGGAGAAGGCGAGAGAGTTGAGATGGATAGTGTTGGTGGCTGCACAGTTGGTGCTTGCTTGTTCTCTGGCTTTCCTTAGGCTCTTACACTTGTAGCCCAGGCTACTCTGGAATTCCTCTTGTAGCTCAGGCTGGTCTTGAATTCATGGTAATCCTTCGGCCTCAGCCTCCTCAGGGCTGGAATTACCAGTCACTGTGCCCAATGGGCTGGATGGTTGCACCACAAAGTGAATTTAAAATTTTTATTTTGTGTGTGTGTGTCGGGGGGAGGGTGATGTAGGTATACCTGTGTGTGCAGGCATGCATCCTACCCCACCCCACTCGTTCATGGGAAGAAGCCAAAGGACACTGGGGCTCCTGCTCTGTGGCTGTTTGCTTTTGTTCCTTGAGACACTGAACCTGGAGCTGTCTTGGTGGCTAGCAAGCCCC